ACGTAGTGGAGAAACCTATAGTCAAACCTGTAGAGGAACCGTTGAAGACACCTGCAGATGCTCTTAAAAAGGACGTAGTGGAGAAACCTGTAGAGGAACCATTGAAGACACCTGCAGATGCTCTTAAAAAGGACGTAGTGGAGAAACCTATAGTCAAACCTGTAGAGGAACCGTTGAAGACACCTGCAGATGCTCTTAAAAAGGACGTAGTGGAGAAACCTATGGTCAAACCTGTAGAGGAACCGTTGAAGACACCTGCGGATGCTCTTAAAAAGGACGAAGTAGAGAAACCTATAGTCAAACCTATAGAGGAACCGTTGAAGACACCTGCAGATGCTATTAAAAAGGACGAAGTAGATAAACCTATAGTCAAACCGGTAGAAGAACCGTTGAAGACACCTGCAGATGCTATTAAAAAGGACGAAGTAGATAAACCTACAGTCAAACCTGTAGAGGAACCGTTGAAGACACCTGCGGATGCTCTTAAAAAGGACGTAGTGGAGAAACCTGTAGAGGAACCGTTGAAGACACCTGCTGATGCTTTTAAAAAGGACGTAGTGCAGAAACCTATAGTCAAACCAGTAGAGGAACCGTTGAAGACACCTGCTGATGCTTTTAAAAAGGACGTAGTGCAGAAACCTATAGTCAAACTTGTAGAGGAACCGTTGAAGACACCTGTGGATGCTCCTAAAAAGGACGTAGTGGAGAAACCTATAGTCAAACCTGTAGAGGAACCGTTGAAGACACCTGCAGATCCTATTAAAAAGGACGAAGTAGATAAACCTATTGTCAAACTTGTAGAGGAACCGTTGAAGACACCTGTGGATGCTCTTAAAAAGGACGTAGTGGAGAAACCTATAGTCAAACCTGTAGAGGAACCGTTGAAGACACCTCCAGATGCTATTAAAAAGGATGAAGTAGATAAACCTACAGTCAAACCTGTAGAGGAACCGTTTAAGACACCTGCGGATGCTCTTAAAAAGGACGTAGTGCAGAAACCTATAGTCAAACCTGTAGAGGAACCGTTGAAGACACCTGCAGATGCTCTTAAAAAGGACGTAGTGGAGAAACCTATAGTCAAACCTGTAGAGGAACCATTGAAGACACCTGCGGATGCTCTTAAAAAGGACGTAGTGGAGAAACCTATAGTCAAACCTGTAGAGGAACCGTTGAAGACACCTGCAGATCCTATTAAAAAGGACGAAGTAGATAAACCTATTGTCAAACTTGTAGAGGAACCGTTGAAGACACCTGTGGATGCTCTTAAAAAGGACGTAGTGGAGAAACCTATAGTCAAACCTGTAGAGGAACCGTTGAAGACACCTCCAGATGCTATTAAAAAGGATGAAGTAGATAAACCTACAGTCAAACCTGTAGAGGAACCGTTTAAGACACCTGCGGATGCTCTTAAAAAGGACGTAGTGCAGAAACCTATAGTCAAACCTGTAGAGGAACCGTTGAAGACACCTGCAGATGCTCTTAAAAAGGACGTAGTGGAGAAACCTATAGTCAAACCTGTAGAGGAACCGTTGAAGACACCTGCAGATGCTCTTAAAAAGGACGTAGTGGAGAAACCTGTAGAGGAACCATTGAAGACACCTGCAGATGCTCTTAAAAAGGACGTAGTGGAGAAACCTATAGTCAAACCTGTAGAGGAACCGTTGAAGACACCTGCAGATGCTCTTAAAAAGGACGTAGTGGAGAAACCTGTAGAGGAACCATTGAAGACACCTGCAGATGCTCTTAAAAAGGACGTAGTGGAGAAACCTATAGTCAAACCTGTAGAGGAACCGTTGAGGACACCTGCGGATGCTCTTAAAAAGGACGTAGTGGAGAAACCTATAGTCAAACCTGTAGAGAAACCGTTGATGACACCTGCAGATGCTCTTAAAAAGGACGTAGTGGAGAAACCTATAGTCAAACCTGTAGAGGAACCGTTGAAGACACCTGCAGATGCTCTTAAAAAGGACGTAGTGGAGAAACCTATAGTCAAACCTGTAGAGGAACCGTTGAGGACACCTGCGGATGCTCTTAAAAAGGACGTAGTGGAGAAACCTCTAGTCAAACCTGTAGAGGAACCGTTGAAGACACCTGCAGATGCTCTTAAAAATGACCTAGTGGAGAAACCTGTTGTCAAACCTGTAGAGGAACCGTTGAAGACACCTGCAGATGCTCTTAAAAATGACGTAGTGGAGAAACCTGTAGTCAAACTTGTAGAAGAACCGTTGAAGACACCTGCAGACACTACTGTAGAGGTAACAGGGAAGAAAACAGTAGAAGAAGTTTCAACAGATCAAAGGCAATCCAGTGGAGCACTGCATGAGAAAACAGTCAAAACTCTACATGAGAATCCATCAAAACCTTCAGGTGTGCTGACCACAGAGAAAAAAGAAGACAGTCCAGTGGAACAACTCATAACAGCACATGCACCTGTAGTAGAGACTCCACTCAAACCCAGACAAGCAGAAAACCAGCCTCCAAGTAATCATGGGGAACTTTCACTAGTATCTGCTCTGAAAACTCCAACTACAGAACCAACAGAAGAGCCTCTTGTGGAAGCCCCAGCAGAGCACCACAGACTGAACAGTGAAGCTGGATTGAAGTAAGTCAGTCGTTTATGCAACACCTTCATTTTGATATGACATTTGTTGACCTATATTGACTCATAGGCAGTGCCTAGAAAATTGTAAGATACATTTTTTTTTTAAACGCCATTTTTAGTTTAATGTATGCTTAAGTAAGTCAATTAAATCAGTGTCCATTAAATTAAATAAGTGGCTCTAGAGAATCAGAAAGAGGAATCACAAATGAAAACTTCTAGAAAAAGGTCTTGGCAACTTTATGCTAGAGTATGTGTTGTATTATATTTTTATTTAATTGATTTCTATAGCAGTGATATTAAATTATATAATTAGACATTAGTTACACAAACTATAACACTGTAAGTATATCGTTTATCAGTATAAATCAGTACTTATGTAAGCACATCAACACTGTCAAATTAAGTGTGACCTGTCTCACTAAATAATTGCATTTATTTTTCAATAAAGTTTAATGTATTAGTAAAACAGTATTCAACACAGTTTTATTCTTAATAAGACGTCTGCGTATCTGTGTATGTCTCCCTTAGCAGTGTGAAAGGTAAAACCATGTGTTCCTTCTGCAAGCTGCCCTTAAATGGAAGTGTGAAAATTATCATCAACATTCCTGACATTAGCTGCCATCCGGATTGTTTCAAGGTTTGCTTTTTAAATCTCTTCTTCCTCTGTACTGAACCAGGCTCAGAAGTCAGTGTCTCAACCTTCCTCAAAGTTGTTTTCATCTGAGCCTTGTCTATATATTTCCACCTGGTATTAAAGGTGCAGTAAGCAATTTCTGAGTTGAAAGTGGATCGTAACGAGCTCCAAAACACACTTGTAGCCAATCAGCAGTATAGGCGTAAACAGACACTCATGATGGGGGAGGACAGAGAGTGAGCAAGAGGGAGATTTGAAGAAAGACTGTAGAAAAAGAGATAGCTGAGGGACATTACAAAAGAGAAAAGGTCACTGAAAATATAAAGAGTTATTATCAGGCAAGAGCTTTAGAACCCACGTTCCTAAGCACTAGAGACCTAAATGAGAAGGCCTGAAAACGGACGCTGAGGTTGAGTTGTTTCTGCACCACGAAATAAGAGAGGAGTCTCTGCAAAATCCGAACACAAGTGGTCATAGGAGACACGTTAAAGGGTTAGTTCACCCAAAAATAAAAATTCTGTCATTAATTACTCACCCTCATGTCGTTCCAAACCCATAAGACCTTCGTTCATCTTCAGACCACCAAATGAAGATATTTTTTATGAAATTCGAGAGCTTTCTGACCCCCCATAGACTGCAACTTTATAACAACTTTCAAGGCCCAGAAAGGTAGTGATGACATTTTTAAAATAGTCCATGTGACTACTCTATAAAAAAAATATTTTACTCAACTTCATGCTGTCCCAGACTTTCTTCAGATGAACAAACAAATATTTTTAGAAAAATAATCCATCTCTATGAATCCATTTAATGAAAGTGTATGGGACCTCCAAAGTTGACACTTCAAAAACCACACAAAGTGAACATGATGGTAATCTACACAACCACAGTGGATTAATAAATGTATTCTGAAGCAGAACGAGATTTGTTAAACTATAAACTCTTGCTTCCAGCCAAGTGTCATATTCTGGTTCGAGTTTACGCTTGCCATAAATGGCCGTTGACAATTTAATTGATCAACTGTGGTTGTGTAGATTAGGCCTACCTTCGTGGTTTTTAAAGAGTCAACTTTATAGGTCCTGTACACTTGCTTTATATAGACACAGAGATGGAATTTTTATTTGTTTGTGTTTGTCTGAAGAAAGAAAGTCATATACATCTGGGACAGCATGAGGGTGAGTAAATGATGAGAATTTTCATCAAGTATCCCTTTCATTTATTTTTCCTTCGACCATCCCCAGCAATAAGATGTGCTGCAGTGTGATCAGTAATGCTTTGTCTCTCTGTGTGTGTTTTAGTGTAATGGCTGCCGCAGTCCTCTGGGTGATCTCTCCTCATCTATATACCACTATGCTGGGAAAATCCTCTGCGAGAGATGCTTTGATCAAGTCTTCCAGCTCTGATGATTCATCCCCACAGCCACCTACTGGACTACAACTTACAACTAAGCTCATCTCAGAGTCTGCCACCAAGTTTACTTTAATTCAGCACTTATTTAAAATAAACTTTATCAGCGACGGAATGCTGTCGTAGGTTTAGTGCACATGAATACAACAACATTTTCTGTAAATGATCATTGCTGTGTGTGCATGTCTTCATATATATATAGTATATCCAATTTCCCCTTGGGGGTTAATGAAGTATCTCTCTCTGTGTCTGATCAACATAATCCTCATCTTCTTCTAACAATTCAGTTTCAATTGAATTTTAATATCCTCTTTAGATGTGATCTGTAGCTGTAAGAAGAATTGACAACACTGATCGTCATCTTTCATTAAAGTTTATTGCATGAGTTTCTATGAAGTCAACACACAATTTTATGTAAATTCATTTTAGTTTGCATTATTTTTATGAATCATTTACAGTTATCAATCTGACTAGAAATATTTGTAGTTTTCTAAAATGAGCTAGAACAATAAAAAAACATTAGTTCCTTTGATCGAGCACCATCATTGAACAGGTTCAGCATATTGCCACAGTTAGTCAAAATATACAACAAATACACACTGACACTAAGAGTGTCTTTAAATACTGAATTCAAATTGACAGAAAGAAATCTGCTCACTTCAGTGCTGTTTCTCTGTGCGTCTCAGAATATAAACCAACAACTGACTGAGGAAACAAGTCAAACTCTCTCAAAAAGATGAAAAGTGAGAAAGAGAGAAGCTAAAATCCTAGCAAACTGCAAGGCATTAATATGACCATGAAGTGACAATGAATACAATCATTAAAATGAATAAATGGCCGTGAGAGAAAGGAGAGAGCGGTATGATAATGTGTGTGTGACAAAGACAGAGAGAAAATACAAATGAAGAAATAGAGAAGCTAGATTCCACTCCTCCAGAGATCTACAGTACAGTAGTTTGTGGTTTAATGTGTAGGGCTTCAATGTATTTTTTCCCATTAATCAGTGTTCTTTAGTGAGGTTTGTACTTATTTGTCTCACTAGTGTGTGTGTGTGTGTTGTACTCTGTATGATAGACCTCTGCAGGGGCTTCATGGCACTCTCTTGCGTTTCCTCACGGGCCACAGTGATGACACCACTGATACCGCTGCAACAGGCAACAGGAAAGCGGGCCTAGCAACACCGAACCTAGCAACGGATTCCCTTCCTTCCGAGAAACCTTAGAATAGCGTAGTTGTAGGTGGTGGCAACCACATAAATGAACTAGAAAAATAAAAAAGGAAAGAACAAACCATTTGTCTGATCAGAAGGTGTCACTGACCTGTTCCTCTGCAAAAGAGGAAATCTGAAGTTTTGTGACATTAGTGTTTATATCCCTTTGACACTCACTGGATGATAAACATCAGACAAGGCATGTGATTCTAATAATACCACATCATTTATTTACAATCTTGTCTGTAGCAGTGTGTATACTAATATTTTAGAGGAACAATCACTTTGGAGCAACTGGGGTTTAAGTTCCTTGCTCAAGATAAATTCAGGACTTGATTCTTTGAAAAGGTTGTGAACATTTGTTAATGCAGTTATTATTTTTTACCATATGGCATATGTGCATTTGTTTGCAGATGGCACATATCTAATGGAGATAAATACTTTTGGGGGCCATTGAAACTGCAATTTTCTACTTATTACATTATTATTACATGTTTGCATCAATCTCACTGTGATCCTCAGCAGGACAGAGGGCTGTCCCGATAGTTAGTGCTCTATGATTCTCATTAGATAAAGCCTGAGAAATAACTGTTGCCAAATACACACAGGAAAGGGAGTAGAGACGCTGGGGATCTGTCAGTAGCAGAGAGGACAGTTACTGATTGTAAACTAAACATTCCCTTGCTGCACTTCCGTTATGAACTTCATGCTGTTTGACAGCTCTGCACTCTGACCTCAAAGAATCCAGTCCAAATTCAATGCCAATGGAAGTTTGTCAATAGACATATATACATTTGTAAATATAATAATCAAAATATGTGTAAATTACCTGTTTCTGTTCTCAGTAATTGTCAATATTGACCAATCATTGTCGTTTGAAATTCTTAATCATTACATAAAGATTTCTGAGGTGTATCTATTTACCAATTAATAATGGATGCTTTCCTGAATGCAAAGCAAGGAGGCCCTTGAAGTAGGAACCAGTTCACCACTATGACTTTGCACAAAACATCTTCTACAGTAAATATAAACGACTTTAAAGTTCACATGTGTAGAATATGAGATCACTAACCAGGGCAAGAAGGGTGATTACTGCTCCAGCAAATGCACAGATGTAAAGGTCATGGGTCATGTGGAACTGGAAACATGAAAAGGGATATAAGTGATATGATCTCTTGAAACCCTGAGTATGTGTGTGTGTGTCCAGGACTATAACCATCTAACCTCTGGTGTTTTGCAGATGTTGGCCAGTGTATTTCCACAAACAATCCCGGGCACAGCATTCCAGGGAAGAAACCCTACATAGAAAAAACAGACATCATGATCATGAACACACACAGATTCACACACACAAGGGCGCAGACGTACCATACATCCGTGCGTCCATGCAGACTCTTGATTGCTGGTTGAACAAGGTGGTTTCCGACAGAATGTTGACTCTGTGACAGGAGCTTTTCATATTAATGAAGAAGAGCACGGGAACGGCAGTGAAGCCAAAGACAACCAGCCAGATCACCGCGAGAATGTATGTCAGGATTATCAGCTGGTCGAGAGAGACAGATATTCAGATCATTGCAACATAACAAGCATGAACAAAAGCAAGTGAATCTTGATTTATATAGCACCTAAACAGTGTTTAAACAGTCCAGATACAAACAAAATAAAGACTAAATCAACTGCTCATAAGTTATCAGGGAGTTTAGATACAACAATCAAGTTGCAGTTGGATGAAATAGTGATCTAGCTGGTGTGTATTTTAGAGTTCCCACACTTTCTGACCTAAGATTCGCCATGATTTTTCCATGACTTCTACATTCATTTTTGATAAAGGATAAGTAGTTTTGCAAATCATTTTTATAGATATCACATTTTTAAAATGTAATTTTAAGCTGAAAGAAATACTTACTGAAGGACTGAGTATAACTGAATTACGCACACTGATTACAGAAATACTAATTTACTAACTGGTTAAATAATAATTATTAATATATATAAAATAAAATAAATATTATAAATAATTTATGTTATATAAAATGTTATATATATGCATTATTTTTTATTTCTTTTCCATACCCTAATATTTCATTATCAAGAATGATGCAAAGGGACCAGTGACCACAAAATTAAAAAACCATCTCACACACACACACGCACACGCACACACACACACTCACAGTCAGGCTGAGGCCGCGCCCGAACTGGGTGCTCCTGAATTCTCCGAACGTCTGCTTTACTGCACTGGTGGTGTAAAAACCTTCAGCCAACAGCAACAATCCATAGAGGAAAAAGAAGGAGGCCAGACCGTAGATCACATACTGGAAATATTTTATACTGAAACACAAAATATGGAACAATGACACAAACAATCAAAAACAGGCCCACAATCACAAAAAGAAAGAGAAAGACAATCACTCACAAGTCTGCCAGCACAATGAAATCCTGCACGTCCCTTGCGAAGTAGAGCTCTATGAATGTGTGTGTGTGAGTGAGCGCCTCATGCCCTCCCCCACAGAAGAGTGCCACACCGGTGTAGCAGAGCAGGGTGGCCAGCAGGCTGGTGTAGGGCACGGCGCCCAGGCAGCGGATGCAGCAGTCATAGCAACCTGTAGGTGAGTGATATATCAACACACACACTGCACATGCAGCACACACAATACACACACACATTTATACACACACTCTATTCTAACAGTACACAAGCGCACTCATGATCATCTAGAAAGCTCACCGCTGACCTATAAATGAGCATGCACACTTAATACAAACACCACTAATGTGCTTTTAAGAGTTAGTTGGCCTATAGTAAGTCAAGGACACACAAAAACATGCACACACATACACGATGCGCTCTATCTGACTGACACATGCACACACTTTTAAACACTCAGTGTATCATGGAATCACAAATGAACAAGCCAAAATGTAGGCGATCAAAAAGCCCTGCTCGAAATCTCGAACCACAAAAAGAAACTTAAATTACAAAAACCTGAAAGTAAAAAAAAAAAAACTTCGAGGAAAAAAAAAAGATGAATATGCGCTATGTGCACCAAAACATTTAACAGGCAAAACAACTATCAATAATAAAGCAACTTAACCAAAAGAAGCCAAACAATAAGCGGCAGAAGGCTCAGCTATGAAGTTCTGCCGTCCCCAGCGTGTGAGAAAAGATGATGCGCCTCGGGTCACCTAGCGCTTTACACAACCACGGCTGTTTCACTGGAAACATGGACACTGCTGAGCCGAACCCACACCAGGAGAGAGCCGTGCAGACACTTGTCCACTCCACAGAGATTTCTGTCCTCTGTTGCTCTAATTTCTCTTTCTTTCTTCAGATACACTCCACTGTCCACCTCAAGGAAGAAAAAAAACGCATCGCTTAAGCTGCTCCTCTCCCTCCCTCACTTCTTTCTCTCCTTCTTTCCCTCCCTCCCTCTCTCTTTCTCTCTTGCCTGAGTAGCCTGGTGTCAGGGTGAGATTGGGGGGGGGGGGAGGGGGTTTGGGGGGGGGGGGCGTTGGGGGGGGGGTTTTCATGTGTGTTTGAGGTTTTGTGGTCAGAAAAAGAAGCACTTGTGAAAGTCATAATGGCTTTTGTTTTAACAACAAAACGTATCATTGTGAACAAACACACACACTCACAGGCCTCAGCAGTGGAGTGCGTCATTGCATTTCCACCCTTAGCGGCACAGACAGACACATACTGACACCACTGGGGTTACAATTGGGATCATTGCAGGTCATCCAGCCTTTTACACTCTTTTTAGACTCTTTTTCTAGCTTATCTACTCAACAAGCGTCAAAAATGCCTGACACTCACAATAATCTGATTACTATCCGAAAGACACATATTCATCACACCCTCTGTTTGAGAATGTTGAAATGCTTTTGGGTCTTAAATTAACTTAAATGGGATAGTTTACCCAAAAATGTACATTCTGTCATAATTTTCTCACCCTCATGTCGTTCCAAACCTGTATACCTTATTTCTTCTGTGGAACACAAAAGAACATACTTTGAAATTCAGTGCTTTACTTTTTGTCCATACAAAGAAAAGTCATTGGGGTCCAATGCTGTTTGGACACCAGTGTTCCTTTGTGTTTTGGAGAGGAAAGAACAACAAGTTTGGAAGAACTATCCCTAGTTTTGAGCAGAAAATGACACATTTGCTCTAACAGTTCAAACTGAAAATGTGATTCTGCAGAAGGCTGATAAGCTCTTGTCCATCTAATCTACTGTCAGAAAAAAGAAAAAACACTACAAAATAATACAATGCATTCATGTAAATCCTTCATGCCTATTTTTAGACTGGCACTGGGCCGTACAGGAGTCGCCCACAGAGAAGAGAATATTTGACCTAAAGACCTGATGTGAACTCTGGCTGGAGTCTCCTGAGGTTACTGGTCGTCTCACCCTCAACTCTGAGGCGCCGTAGTAACTGTCTTAGCCAATCAAAAGCGGAGCCAGCTGGTTAATCAATCAAAACAACCTTTTTAATTGAATAGGATCCATTGAATACTGTATATCCCCTCCATAAGTACAGGAGTGATGAATCTAGCTTCTTCTGACCAATCAGAAGTCATCTTAATCTTACACACTACATAAAAAGGATCATTAAAACACTTCTATGCATTTATCTAAACAACTAATATCACATGCAAATCACAGACAGAACAATCAATTCAAATTCTGCCAGTAAGAGAACAATGATGAAAATCATAGCCGTGGTTAAAAATGGGTTCAGGTGAGTTCAGGTAGACTTACCCATGTGAGTATGTGTGTGCGTATCGCGCTCTGTCTCTCTGATGTGCCGTGTAGTTTAATCTCTCGATGCTTTTATGATTCTCACTCACGCTTTTGTCCCTGGAACAATAAACAAACCCCTTTGCTCTCTCTCTCTCTCACAAACAAACAAACACACTCACACACACACAATGGGGCAGATCTTAAAGATGCAGCGCCCTCTTTCACTGCCATGATAAATAAAGAGTAAGTGTGTTTGTGTGTGTGTCAGTGTAATGAATCCTAAATGTTCTCATGCGCATACATGATAAAGATGAACAAATGGGCCAAAACACTCATGCACACACGCTAGTATCTCTTACGTCTGGCCTCTTCACAAGTTCTACATAAACATCCGTGTACAAACATCCACACACAAACATTTGCTTAACTTTCTGCATTTTCGCAGTTATTGATTTTATTTTAATTACGTTTTTTTTTTTTTTACAAATGAGGATGTCTCCAAAAAAAGGTTATGGTCAGATTAGACTCACTTTTAGGTACAAATTTGTTTCCAAAATATGGTTAAGTCTGTACACACACACACAGACAAATTTTTACGCAAGCTGAGGGCGGTGTGACTGAGTCCGTTTGGGACAAAAGACCATTCAATACAATACTACAGTTGTCCGAATTAGGAACACACAGACAATACTCTCTTTCAGTAACACACACACACACGTAAGCATTGGGGCTTATGTGTGATTTGAAAGAAATGTTGTGATTTTGTGCGCTCCATTAAAAGTAGGCCTATCTGTCAAAAGCCCCATTCTTAATTTTTTTACAAAAAAATTTAAACACACACAGATGTAATTTACTAAGTGTTATCATATTAGTAAGGGAACCTCAAATAGGCGATGGTTTTATAGGCAAGTGTTGATATTACCTAAACTGCTAACTTTCACAAAAACCTGCTCATATCAGAAGATTTATAGCAAAACATTGTTTGCCTCATTTATGCGAGGAACACTGAAATGTGTTTTTTTGTTGTTGACATATTTAACTATATTAGTAAGGACATTTTCAGAAATGTTGACCTTATAATATCCAAACCGTGGGCCGGTTGCATAAATTCATAACTTTTTTTTTTTTTTTTTAAGGGTTAGTTCACCCAAAAATGAAAATTCTGTCAGTAATTACTCACCCTCATGTTGTTCCAACCCCGTAAGACTTTCGTTCATCTTCGGAACACAAATGAAGATATTTTTTATTAAATCTGAGAGCTGGATCATAGGCTTCTAAGGGATCGAAACTGGCCGGCCCAGAAAAGTTAAAGACATCGTTAAAATAGTCCAAGTGACTACAGTGGCTTAATCTCAAGTTTATCAAGCGACAAGAATACTTTTTGCGTGCAAAAAACAAACAAAAATAACGACTTTATTCAACTATTCATTTCCTTCTCTGTGGGCCTCGAAATAGTTCACGTAGTGTAACTGCGCAGCGCTTCTGGGTTGTACGTCACACGTAGGCTCACTATTGGCCAACGCTGGTCATGTGTGTGATGCGTGTGACGTACAACCTAGAAGCGCTGCACAGTTACACTACGTGAACTATCTCGAGGCCCACAGAGAAGGAAATTAATAGTTGAATAAAGTCGTTATTTTTGTTTGTTTTTTGCGCACAAAAAGTATTCTCGTCGCTTGTACTATTTTAACGATGTCTATACAAAGGGGGGAAACTTAGGAAAATGTTGTACTGTAATGTAAACATGGAATATATAAAATACTACTGCAGCGATGAAATATTTAAGCAGTAGAGCGTGTCATTCTTGTTTTGTAAGAATTTTTTTTACAAAAGCAAGGTTGTTGGTGTTTTTTAGGCCAGTGTTTTATTAGTGACAAAGTGTGTTTGTTGGTTGAAAACCTTTGCTATTGTGTTATGAAGAATTAATTGATTTGAGACATAGATTAAGTGTTTTGGTAGTATTCGTGCATTTTGAATGTGAAATGAACTGCTGTGCCACGTTAAAAGTTTGTTAGGTGGAAAAAAATGACCTAAATATTGAGAAATGTGTCCTAGCGATTGTAAAAAACGGCAACTTGTTGTGCCTTATTATGCCACTGGCCCATATAGGCCTATATTGCACAGTCGTATGGAAAAGCGCTGCCCGAGTGGTAGATAGATTTTTAATTTTGTGTGAAATATTCCAATACAAATATTTTGTTGTAGACCTAGTTAAGATTTTCCTGTAGCTCTAAGGTTTTCTAAGGTTTAGTTCCTAAAAGTCTGACAGAAAGAATGTGCCCTGAATGCGCTGTAAAAGGCTTATGCGTCACAGATTTCTCGAGATCAAAAACCAAATCAATCTTGATAAACAAGGAGCAGGAATTTTAGGCAAACTCAATATTTACTGCAAATTTGAGGCAGAAATGTACAGAGTATAAAAGAACAGACTTCTGCAAGCCGTTGAATCGACAGACCTGAGCAGCTGCACATCAGGTCACCCTCATCCAGGAGAGACACACTGCTGTTTCCAACACATGCATCCAAATGACATTGTCTTTCCTCTTCAAAGTCCAGATTAACTCAAATTGTGGTAAATACTGCAAATTCTTTTATAAAGCTGTTGAACTTTCACACAAACACGTTAACAGACAAACGTTCTGCTGGTTACCAAGGAAACTATCGCAAATTTGGCACAAAAATCATGGCAGGGGTGGTGGTTAGCATGGGTAACATAGATAATCTAACCATCTGGCAGGATATGACACCATGACTACACGATTGTTGTACCCCTGTGCAAACTCTGTGCAGCTCCGTAACTTAGTAAACATGATATTTTAGAACGTCCTTCATCAGAGATTAACATTTTAAATTCTCAGCAAAAGCCTGTGTCACATCACAGCGTGAGGGATGTCGTATGAGTGATGTCCTATCACTGATAAATACTGAAAAAACTCAATGCTTTCAAATTGAGTTCGAACATTTTCACAAAACATATCAAACAAACTCAGATACAATACAGATTTAAGATGATTGAAAAGCATTTTCACAAAATGATAACATTTAGCAAGACACAAATTATCTAAAGATGCTTAACTTGAAAATTAATTACACACGTACCCGCTCTCTCTCACTCACGAATAATCTTCACACACGCAGTGTTCCTTAAAATACTCGACGTGATGTGTTCGTGCAATCTACAACTAAATTAATCGATTATACCAAAAGTAAAATAGCCATCACAATTCACCCGTTCATAAAGAGAGAGAGAGAGGGAGAGAGGGAGAGAGAGAGAGAGAGAGAGAGAGAGAGAGAGAGAGAGAGAGAGAGAGAGAGAGAGAGAGAGAGAGAGAGAGAGAGAGGTGGTATAAAATAGTAAAAAAAAATTGCGATTATAAATAAAGAAAAAAATGTTTAGGAATTAAATTCATTCTGGGCTTCAAATGACCATCTTTGCTATGGATATAATCTGATCTTAAAAACGATTAGAAATAAAAAAATTCTGACACATTCAAAAAAGCTGTCTGTACATTGACGTTAATATATGTTATACTGTACAATAGCCAATAATATGTTTGTTATTACAGGTTATTATTATTACATATCTTAGAATAAGTGCTTGCTTGGTTCATAATGGTGAACCACTGATGGGACTCCAGCGCCCCCTACTGTTCTTGCGGATCAAACCACCTGCAGGGTTTTTAGAGTCTTGCAGCACCACCTAGAGGCAGCAGCGGTACTACAGCTCACCCTCCAGGTAATCTGCTCGTTCTTTCGGTCTTATTCCACAGATAAGTGTCTTAACTGCTCATATAACGTGAATACTGTCTGTATAGACATAGGTCAGACGTGAAGCGTTGCGTTCATACTGAGCCGTACTAGTGTGCTGCAGTGACACTTCCTTCTGGCTTATATTGTTCGTTTCCTTCTGGTTTATATGATTGTTTCTGATGGGTCGTACTGTTTCATTAGTGCCCTAAATCAGAGGTGATTGTGCTCATGTTATTATTAGTTTCACCTGCTGTTGTACTTTCGAACACTGCTAAACAGTTTGCACCAGATTGATCTGGTTTACAGTAATCAGTCACTGTGATTGTGTTGTAAGGATTTGTGGGATGTGAGTGTTGTGTGTTGCCTTGTGGAGTTTCTGTTGCATGTTATACACGTGTTGTTGAGTGTGGGTGGGGCAGGCTGGTGGAGTTGTATCCATGTGTGAAGGTGTTGTAAGGGTGCATGCTGGGATATCCCATCAAAGAATTAGGTGACATGGTAATGGTGTTGGGCGTCATGGTAACACTATTGGGCGTCAAGCTAACTGTGTTGGGTGTCATAGTGCCGCTATTCGGAGTCATGGCGACAGAACTGGGCGTCATGAGTGGAATGTCATCCGGCGAGCGGCGGAGTGTGAGGGCGTAATCCCGTGGAGATGACGCCGGGGTCAAACGTAGGGGGTCGCACAGTGAGCCCTCCTCCGGGTTACCCCCAGAGATGGAGGTGGGTGTGTAGCTGAGATCATTGGGCGGGGTCTGGCGCTGAGGTGCGGACTGAGGGGGCGTGTCCTGCCGACTGCGTTTGTCCTTGCGGTAGTAGAGCGCAGCAAAGGCCAGGACGTTGAGGAAGAGGAGCGACGCTCCCACAGCGATCGTGACACTCAGCTCCGTGGAGTAATCGCGCGGATTGGCAATGACCAGCGGTCCGCTGCGTGCTGTGGACTGAGGGGGCTGTTTACCAGGGGTACGAGCCTTATTGCCTGGCCGCGGCGTAGCACTGTGAGAGCTGTGTGTGGTCAGAAGAGGTGGAACCCGCGTGGTGGTGGACGTGTAGTGGAACATGTCATGCAGGTTGTACAGGTGAGGTACCAGGTGCTTCCAGAAGGCCACTTTAGTAGCTCGATAATGATCCCGAACACGAGGCTTCAGCCCAATATGCAGATACAGCTGGTCGTGAGGACCGTACTTGGCCCATGTCACTTCTTCAAAGCGGTTTGCCTTCGTGTGGATGAACTTCGTGTCCTGAGGAACTGGCTTGTTCGGATCCCTAAACAAACAGATACAGAAAAAACAGTTAATTAATTACATCTGAACTATATAAAAGTGTTAGTTTTTTTATTTGTTTTAGTACATTTTAAAATTAATTTATATTTTATCATGC